GCAGAAGCTGTTCAAACCCGCTGCCGGAGCCCCTGCTGGCCACGTCGGGCCACTGCTAGCCCCTGCGCTGGACACTGCTAGAGCAGCAGTGGTTGGGGCTGGAGGGGGAGAAACTGGGGAGGAAGGAGGGGGGAGGGGGCGGTCTGGTAGCTGCTTTCCCCCCTCTATGAGGACAGATTGGACCGGGGCTGGGGAAGACACGGGGAGAGACTTAAAGGTTTGGTTTTTTTTTTGTCTTTTTTTTTTCTTTGCAATCCGGTGGAAGAAACTTCCGCCGCAGCCTGAGTGTTGGTCCTAGGAGGGGGACTCCCCTGGCGGGCGCCAGGGCCCTCCGCATCTTGTGGCGGAATGACAGTTGCCGATGGTAATTTTTTTGTAATGTTACAACCCCACCGAGGCACCCTTCCCCTTCCTCTGTCTGTGCAGAGTTTGTTGAATGTTCGTGTTATTTAAAACAGAGCGAGAGAAAAAGCAGAGAATGATGCAACCCTTTAAACATGGCTGGGAATGCTGCGTACACATGATGCAATCTCGTGTAACTGTCAGTCATGGATTGAGTAATCTGTTAAAGATGTTCCTGCGGTTTTTTTTATTATAAAGAATAATTCTATTTCTATACGAAAATACATATGTATATTTTGGGATCTATAGACATTCTTGCTACATTTGAAGCATTAATGAACAATTTTAATAAACTTTATGGCTAGGAAAAAAGAAAGAAAGGAAACTTGTTTTATTTTAAAGGCACTTTAACGCCAGAATGAAATCAGTTCAAATGCCAGCTAGATCTGGCTGTGTCAGGAATCATTTTGTTGGCCTTTTGACTCTCTCTGTGACTCAGCAAAAAAGAAAAAAAAAATGAGAGAACCAGAGAAGACCAGATGTGGGAACCACAGCCAGTTCCCTCTTGCTGCCTCACTTAATTTCCTCTAACCCCTTGAGTTAAATTCTGCTTGGGTTTTTCTGAAATACTAATAACTCTCCCCATTCAAACCATGAAAAATGTTTGACAAAGTCTCTCCAAGCAAAGGACAAGATTAAAGCAGGGGAGAGGTTGGAGGAAAGAAAAAGAGAAGGAGAAAGCTTGAAATAAGGTGGGATTTTTCTTTAAAGCTCAAGTTTTTGTAGTCTCTCAGTTTCATGACTCAGTATTTCTGATGCTGGGGGTTTTACAGCAATGAACAGTGATAACATGTCATTTTTGTGTTGGATGGCTATGAACTGGGGACCTCTCACATAACTAGGCTCAGTGAGAAATGTGTGGACAATGCTCCCTATAATTTCCTACTGAGCCTTCTTTTTAAAAACTGTTTCTAAAAAATGCTGCTGATACAGTTGAGTTCTTGAAAGGTGAGTGCGGTGGTGATGGTAGTGAATGGGTCAGGTGTGTGGTTTGGGTAAAAGATTGGGTATAGGAGGATGTATGTATAGAGCCCTAAGGACTTTGTGACAAAGATAACAGAGGCTCTGCTAGCAGATGTGGGATTTGTCGAGGTCTGTGAGTTGCACATGTCTTGGCTCTCTGTAGTTTGCTTTTGTGTACTTGCCTGTAAAATATTATTTTACAGCCTAGAGCTGATTACGTGCTGGGAGTTGGGTACATGTTCAGGTCTTATTCAGCATTTTCCAGCATACTAGACAGACTCTATGCACATCCATCTTCTAAATCCAGATGTCAAAAACTACCAGGAAAGAACTTCCTTAATCCTTCTATAGCTGTACTTTACAGTAGGATGCAAATGTTCTGTTTCCTTAATGGTAATGGATCTGAACTTGTTTTATGCTGTACTGTAAAGGATAGTGATTGGGAATGGGTATGGAGCAGCCTTGAATTTGGTGTTTATGGATATTGATTTTACTCAAAAATATGTAGTATAACGAGGGAGTTGTTTTTAATTTTCAGTTGCAGTCTTATCTGGGCAGGGAAAACTAGAGTCTGCAGTGGAGTTAATCAAGTAAATTCTTTGTTCATGCAAATCTCCAATAGCCCCCACCAGGCGTTATGCAAGAGATAGGAGTGTGGAATTAGACCCAATGCAGCTGTGTTTCCCTTTTGCTTTGCAGTTTTCTTAGCCCCTAGAATTAGACTTTTTTGGATTATGCAATTAACCCTCCTATCCTGCACTGTGGTAGGTTAGCTTCTTGCAAGTTGGATGGATGTAAGGTCTTGCCTTAAATCTACCTAGTGAAGGTGATTTCCACAATCTCCCACTACCACTTGTTGAACTGTTCTCCTAGTTACAAAATTTATCCTAATATTTAAATCTTGTTCTCCTCTCTGCAGCAAAGGCCCATTTGTTATCAAACTTGTAAGTAATGGCTCCATTTACATATGAGAACTGCTGGCTTTAGAGTTGCTGAAGAGCTGGAAATATCCCCTGAAACATAACTTATTTCACATATAAAGGACAACATTTTCATCCAAATCTCTGTAAGGGAGGGTGAGGACAGGGAGCTGAAAGAGAAGGCATATTAAAGATCCTACTATTTATTTAAAATATCATGAATCAGTGGACCAAATTCGTGCAGTGGCGTTGCACCAGAGATGGATGGGCTAACCTGTTGTCTTAAACCTAGACTTGCGGTAATTTAATTAAGATTCACACAGCTATAATCAAGACAGATTGACAGGGATGCTGGCGAAAAAAATATATATTGTGGGGGTGCTGAGAGCCAGTGAACTAAACTGTAAACCCTGTTTATAATGGAAACCATTGCAATCCAGGAGGGGGGAGCTGCACCCTATTTTCAGCACCTTTGCCAACTATTATAATGGCTACTTGGATTACTGCTCCAGAATTGAATGCCTCCCTTAATTTGGACCTTGTGCAACTCAGCTGGGATGTACCAGAGCAACAGTGAGCTTTGGGGAGGTAGGTGCTACCTCCTACTGAAGCAAAATATTGTGATTTGACATAGACCTCAAAGGGCATCTGTGTCAAAGCCAGGATTAGTCCCTGGTTCTGTGTGTTTTATCCAGCCACCTATCTTACAGTTTAGCACCTTTGTGGTGCTTTTAGATATGTATAGGTCATGGAATATTATTGTTCAGAAAAAATAGCTCATAGTTAAAAGATTTCCTAGTGTAAAACATACAGAGATTGTTATATGGGGAAAAAACAGAAGCCAGAAACAAACAAAGCAATGTGCGCAATCCATCCAAGTACGGTGACCATAGGGAAATGGGGACCTTCCCTATCTAAACCTAGCTCATTCTCAAATATTGAGTAGCATGAAATATACATTTCTGCTGATTGAAAACCTCACTTTTCACTTTGCACTGTTTCTTCAGCTTCTGTGGGTTGAGGATGCGCATGGAGTAACTAAATACATCTTGGGGTGTGATCCTGGAGTCCATATACAAGCAAAACTCCCATTGAAGTAAAGAACACAATCAGACCCATGAGCACAATCTCATCTCCTTTGAAAAATGCATGGACCAGTCACTCATTTTTTCCAAGTTATTGTTAAAATGGATTATTGATTTCTAATAGGTTGCCCTTGCTGTCCCAATGGGGTTGGCCTGGGGAAGGAGACAACAGAATTTCCCCATCTTTAGAAAAAAAATATTCCTAATGAGAATATCAAATCCTTGCCATAGACATTCTGTTCCTAAAGGGCTCTAAATTCCACTTCTGAACCTGCTATGCCATGTGGATTCCACAGTATTTAGTTCCACAGCAGAAAATCCATTCCTCAAAATGCATTGTTTAAATGAATATAATTTAAAATACCAACAAGTTTTAACTTTTAAATACGTTATCTGTCAATCTGTATTCCTTGTAGCACATTTGTCACTGCAGCATCTGTGTGTTACAGATACTTTAGCAATAGTTTTCTGCATTGCTTTGCTGATGTTATGTGCTGTTGCTTCATGTTCTAAATATGCTTAATTTGCATTGCCCTCCATTTGCAGCAGTAGGAGTTATTGTTAAAAAGTACCCTTGTTTGTGTCTGCCTTCATTTTTTCCTGTGTCACACTAATAAACACAATCTTACAAATTACAAACATGCACAAAAGGATTATTGGAAGGGTCAGTTGTATATTAATTTAACAACAATGGGTTTGTCTTCTTGAAATTGTGTGATATCCATCCAATATCTACAAAACTGCCCAAGGAAACTATAAATGAGGCAGCGTGACTTGAGTTTTGATGACAGAGATTTGCCTTTGCAATCACAGTCATTCTAAATTAGACGGAAGGATGCTGCAACTCAAAATAACGTCTGCTTTAAGAAACTGAAAACAATATTTGCAAGCCAGATTATATCTCATCACTTATATTTATATTTTAATTTCCAGGGCCCAATTATTTCTCTGCACCTTTTGCAGTCAGTCACATAAATACAAAGTGAGTGCAGCACATGAATAATCCAGAAGGGTAAGATTTGCATCCAGTTTGCGATGGTGTAAGACAAATTACTACACAGCATGTAGACGGCAGTGATGAAATGGGTCCTAACTTCTTTTGCTATATATAAATCCTCCTAAACAATAGAGCTGAATGAAATAATGTAAACAAAATCCTGTAGATTTTCCAGTGAATCCTGTTTGCACCCTTTTATGTTTGCTTTGTGCAACTATTCGAGAAACAAATGGATGTGTTTCAAATTTGCATGCACCAAAATTCACACACAACCACATGTATTTGGGCTGAAATGTGCTTATCCAATCAGGGAACAAAAACACCACAAAGTTAACTAATCAACCATAACTAAACAAGTCAGCTCAAATTCTGAATATTTGTGATCAGTCCATAAAGTTAAAACAAGTAAAAAATAAACATATTGACAAGGTTGAACAGAAAATATATTTGAGGAAATTGGCTCTCTGTTGGCAAGTAGTCCATGAATAGGAAAAGAGGCTCTCTTTGTTTGATAAATTTTCCTTTGAAAATCTTTCGATGAGCTCCAAAGATACTTCATAACTAGAGCCATGGGAAGTGTTTGCAATAGAATGCAAAGACATGCAGGTTCCCTTGGCATTGGTACAAATTCAGATAACATCTACCAAAATGTTTCTTGAGGTTCCTAATCTTTCAGGTGGAATTGGACTTCATTTCAGTCTAGGCTGGGTGGATGAGCACCACCGTTGTTATAGTGACTGGTGCCCTACGTAAACACAGATTAGATCTCATTTTGGATTGGCAGCAAATTCATGTGAAATACGTGGTTCCATATGGTCCTGATGCAAAGCTCAGTGAAGCTGCAATCACGTTTCACTTTGAATTTCTGGATACGTTTAAACCTGAAGTTCAACAGACAATTTTAGGAGGTGTCATTCCACATGGACTAAAGCCAGAGCAAATTCATTCATGAGTTCCCATCTATTGAAACCGCTGAGTTCATCCTAATTCTGACTCCCCATCAGTATGATTAATTGACAACCAAAGTGCCTTTTGGGGATTGTTACTGCCTGCCTGCTCGTCCCTTTTCTAATTTATTTTATTGCATGAACGCTTTTGTCCACCCCTAGAAAAGTGGGTGATTATGTTGAGTAATATTCAGAGGTAGCAGATGTAAAATTCAGCTTGGGCGTAAATGCTGTCACTGACATAAATGGAGATATCTCTATTTACCCCAGAGCTGAATTTGGATCAAGATCTTCAATTGGCTGCCACCAATTTCACACAGAGCCACAATACTCTGATGTTCATCTCCACTTCCCCAAAGGGCTTAGAAGTGTTCAGATCCAGTTTTGCTCAGCCCATTAAAGAGACAGAATCTAGATACACATTTTGATCCACATGGTGGTCTTGGTCTTCATCCTGTCTTGTTCCTTCCTCTCCTGTCTGTGGTATTTTTAAATCATCCATCAGTTACACAGGTATCAAAGCACTTCCTCAAACTTCAGGAGTGTTCGCATCAATGGTGAAGCCAGAAGAGCCCATTTGGGGGGAGAAGGGCCCAACTTCAGGTGGGTCCTGTCCCCGCTCCCTGGCTGGAGTGCAAGAGTAGAGCAGGTTAAGACCTGGCGCCCTACCCCCACACCCTGGCTGGAGCACCAGGCAAGCTGGTGAGTGGGGTGGGTCTGGATACAAAGTGGGCAGGCCCTGACCTCCTCAGGCCCACCCAGGGCTATGCCCCTGGTTTGCATCTGAGATTTTATTTAGGTCCCATGTTGCAATTTCATGCAATTAATACAATGAAAAAATAGCTGCTACAAATCCAACATATTCCCTGTATGCAGTGTTCTTTAAAAACACTGACCTGTTGTGAACAGACCTGTTTCTGATTGGCTCTAACACAGAACAAGCCTGCACATTGAGCCAATCAGAGCAAAGTGATGAAATAAAATTGATACAGGGCCTACTAAGCTTAATGGTTTCTGTCCCCCTTTAAAGTCAACACCCTCCTGGCTGGTTTGCTTTCTATAAATACTTTCACTTACTAGTATATTGCAACAGCAAATACAGAAGCCTGTGATGGGTATTTCATCAATGTTGCCTCCAAATGACAGAAACATTAGAGAGACTGCTCTAAAAATAATGTAGAAGTCCTTCTGATTTATAACGTACTGATTGCTCCTCCTACGCTGAGCTGCCTGTGATGTGGGTCGGCAGAAGCTCAGGGAGCATCTCTGACTTTATGTATCAGTGATCGAGGAGCGCTGGTTTCAGAAATGAAAGCCAGTGATGAAATGGGAAAATACTTCTGTGCAACATGATGAAACAATTACTTGGCTGAACTAAATCAGGGAGAGAATCACAGGACAAAGAGAAAGTACCTGGAGCCCTTTCAGCGGGCAGAAGGAACAGTGCTGCCAGCTAATAGCAAAGTTGTTTGGTGAAGTTTCCCGACATCTGCCAGAGACAGTGGTTCTGGGGTGGGTATTTCTGACACTGATTTGCTCCACTCCTAATTGTCAAGGTGTCTTGTTCGGGTTGGTGAAATATTGGCTGTCTAGGTCCCTATGGGCTTTTTAGAAAACAAAAAGGTTAAGCTAGAATATGATTCAGCTGGGTACTTAATACAGGCTTAACTGTAAGCATGTGAGGAGTCACAATGAAGTTGCAAGAACAGCTCACTATAGAATCATTCATGGAACTAAAGAAAGGAGGAAACATTTCAAGAGGGACTTAGTCTAACTCTTGGTACTAGGGGAGCCAAGTATGCAAACTGGCTCAGTCCTCTTACACTTAAAACCCTAGAACCATGGGCTGTGTCTAGACTGGCAAGTTTTTCCTCAAAAACAGCTGCTTTTGCGGAAAAACTTGCTAGCTGTCTACACTGGCCGCTTGAATTTCTGCAAGAACACTGATGATCTCATGTAAGAAATCAGTGCTTCTTGCGGAAATACTATGCTGCTCCCATTCGGGCAAAAGTCCTTTTGCGCAAAGGGGCCAGTGTAGACAGCTCAGATTTGTTTTGAGCAAAAAAGCCCTGATTGCGAAAATGGCGATCGGGGCTTTCTTGCGCAAAAGCGCGTCTAGATTGGCCACGGATGCTTTTGCGCAAAAGTGCTTTTGCAGAAAAGCGTCCGTGCCAATCTAGACGCTCTGTTCCGCAAATGCTTTTAACGGAAAACTTTTCCGTTAAAAGCATTTCTGGAAAATCATG